TTCGACATCGGGGGCGGCAACATAAAATGGAGTAAAAATGGCCTCTTCAACAAATGGTGTTGGGAGAACTGGACAGTTATGGGCAAAAAAAAAAATGAAATCTGAGCTCCACTTTACACCATACACCAAAATAAATTAAAGGTGGGTAAAAGATTTAAATATAAGCCGTGACACCATTAAAGTCCTAGAAGAGAACATAGGCAGGAAAATCTCAGATACTTCATGCAGCAACATTTTTACCGATATGTCCCCTAGAGCAAGGGACATAAAGGAAAGAATAAACAAATGGGATCTCATCTAAATAAAAAGCTTCTGCACGGCTAAAGAAAATAGTATTAAAATAAAAAGAGAACCAACTGTATGGGAAAACACATTTGCCAATGATACCTCAGACCAGGGTTTAATCTCTAAAATATACAAAAAAACTTACATGATTTCGCTATAAGGAAACAACCCAATTAAAAAGTGGGCAGAGGACTTCAACAGACACTTCTCCAAGGAGGACATACAGAAGATCCAGAGACACACAAAAAGATGCTCAGTATCGTTAGCTATCAGAGAGATGCAAACTAAAACCACAATGAGATACCACTTTACAGCAGTCAGAATGGCCATCTTAAACAAAGCAACAAACAAATGTTGGAGAGGTTGTGGGGAAAAGGGGACCCTATTTCATTGTTGGCGGGATTGCAGACTGATACAACCACTATAGGAAACAGTATGTAATTTTCTCAGAATAAAAAATGGATCTGCCTTTTGAGCCAGCAATTCCACTACTAGGATTATATCCTAAGAATCTTGAAACACCAGTCTAAAAGAACCTATGCACCCCAATGTTCATAGCAGCACAATTTACAATAGCCAAGAGTTGGAAGCATCCTAGGTGCCCATCAGTAAATGAATGGATCCAAAAACTATGGTACATTTACACAGTGGAATTCTATGCAGCAAAAAAAGAAGGAGCTCCTACCCTTTGCAACAGCATGGATGGAGCTAGAAAGCATTATGATGAGTGAAATAAGCCAGGCGGTGAAAGACAAATACCATATGATCTCACCTTTAACTGGAACCTAAACAACAAAACAAACAAGTAAGCAAAATATAACCAGAGACACTTAAGTAGAAAACAGGCTGATAGTGTCCAGAGGGGAGAGGGGAGGTAATTTCATGGAAAAAGAGGAAGGGTTTACTGAAATAAGTATAAAGGACACATGGACAAAAACTAAGGAGGGTGGAAATGGGAGGGAAGTAGGGAGCAGTGGGAGGGTGGGCTGAGATGGGAGTAAAAGACAGAAAACTGTACTTGAACAACAATTAAAATGAATACATTTTTTTAAAAAAGAAATATTGGACCAAAGACTGCCTTTTACTTAAGTAGTAACTGTCCCTAGGAAAACGTTCTAAATTTTTTAAACTTCCAAAGCTCCAAGAACCCCTCGTGTGCTTCATGTCGGAGCTGAGTGCCTAACTCTGATCCGATATTTCTCCAGGCATCCAAGACCATGTATTGTATCTCTTCCCTTGCTTGTCCAAAGCAAGGCTCTATTCATCTCCATATCCCCAAATAAACAGTAAAAATTGTAGTGCAAATAAAAACAGTGTATTGAGACTCTCAAAACAAATATCAGTGCAGAAAGAATAACATCGTGCATTATACTATTACCATGTCTCAGATTGTATTTCTTTGAAATTACCAAAGGTACTATTGTTCTTACTGCTTCTTCCCCAGTTTATTTTTCAGTGTTACAGATTTGGAAACATTTGCTCTCTGTTAATAAAGCAGTAAATGTCATGCCCTTTCTAAATAAACGTACTAGTAACTTTTTTGATCAGTGTGGCTACATGACAGTTGTGTTACTAGAGTTCTAGTTTTGTTAAAATAAGATTGTATCTCTTATACCTATGCCAACTGTGTTGTACCCACTCAAATGTTAAGCTGTTCCTTAGATATAGGTCTGCTATTGCCTTTAAAATATGCATTTATTTATGAGGGGATAATCTTTTATATATTGTTCCCTCAATCTCACATTTGTGAGTTCTCTATGAAATCACAATGATAATTGCTATATGCCGCTTCTGTGGAGCATTTTATGGATGATCTTGCCCACACATACCAAAAAGACAAAGTTTAAGGATTTGAAAGGAAGAAGTAGAATTGTTTTTATTTGCAGGTGATTTTTTTTTACAGAGATAATCCAAGACAGTAATAATTTTGGCAGCCCATATAGTGATGGGAAGATCTAAGAGAATCTGTATACAAACTCTTACAATTAATTCACCAAGTAACTGGGTGTAAGATCAATACACAATAATCAATAAGTTTTTCATATAAAGCAACAACCAGCTGCCTACTTGACATCTCCATCTAGATAATACATCTCAGGTTCAAATGCCTAAAAATACTCTTGAGTATCTAACCAACTTCTCTTCCCCACTTCTAACCCACTCCTCCCATGTCATGACTTTGAGTCCAGTTCTCAGGCCAAAGTCTTAGAATCAAGAATCTTTGATTCTTGTCTTCTTCCTCTCTCACTACACCATCAGCCTGTCAGTATAATCTGTTGTCTCTAGCTGCAAATATATAGGATGAGGAAAAAGTAGGTTTACAGTTTTGAGTATGTGAAACGAGTTTATTCTTGTATTATTTATGTATTCATTATTATATTATTTTCCATACAAATAACTATAATCCTACTTCTTCCCCACCCTATATTCATTTTTTTTTAAAGCCACTTCTTACCGCCTCCCTGGCAATTGCATAGACCATGGCTATCTTCCCTCTTGTCTGGGCTGTTGCACCATTTCTCTCCTTCCATTTTTGGGTTGCCACAGTCTCTTCTTCACACAGCAGCCAACATTAGCCTTTTCACACATGTAAGATCATGTTACTTCCTTTCTCAAAACACTGTTAAGGCTTTTTGTTATACTTAGAATAAAGTCAGGACTCCTACTAGAAGACCTGAGCCCTACTCCTACCTCCTTCTCCTCCTTTCCTACACTCTGACCACATCGGCCTCCTTTTCCTCAACATCCTAAGGTCTTCCCCCATTAGATCTCAGCTCTAGTGTCCCTCCTTAGAGAGGCATTTCCCGTTCCTGCTGTGTGTGATTTGTCTTCATGTGTTACACATCACTGCCTGATATGTTCCACTTTTTTGTCCCAACTGGAATGTTAGTGCCATGAAAGCAGGCTCTTGGCTTTTGTTCCCACAGTCCCAGCACTAGACAGCCCATGGGATTCAGTATATTTGTGTTGAATTTATAGGGTGTGTACTTTTTTTTTGCTTTGTCTGGTCACTTTAGATATTTACATTTGTAACCCAGGGGATAGACTCTCAGTTCTTTGAGAGAAAAAAACTGTATTTTAATCTCCTTTGTATATCTAACAAGTCAGTATTTATATATAAATTATTGAGTTATACACATTTACTTTCCCCTTTGATTAGATTAAGATTTTATGCAATTTGGATTCTATACCACTAAAACCGATGAATTGATCAGTATCTCTTGTTTCAGAGGAGCCAGAGTGTCCTTGTTACATCATGTCTCAGAAGGGCAGAAATCAAGAGTAGGTTCTGTACCTCTTGCTGCATTTAGCAGCTGTCTTGTGAGGAATTACGCCTTCTTTGTACCAGTGCTTTAGTAAAGTATACTCTTACATTTGGTGTTTTCCTTCTTGTTTGTGTCATCTCTGCTCACCATGTGGAGAGGGTTACTGAGCAGCACAGGTTACTCTTAATCGATAGGGCTAAAAGCACCTTTAGACTTTATTACTTTTAGCTCAATTATTCCACTCCTCAGACTATGTAATCTTTATAAAATTGAGGTAAACCTAAATTTCCAGCATGTTTTGTATATCGTCTTTTTCAAATGTATTTTCTTTATTTCTTGAATGAAATTACTGTATCATTTGAAGCTTGTTTTTTTGTTGAACTATGGTGATGATGGAAATAGTTGCTTCACAGAATGGATTTTGTTCTTACATCATTTCTTAAAATGCAACAGAAAGATAAACATGAACTATGTAGAAATTTTAGTGACTGACAATTTCTGGTTGTCTTGGCATATAAACAGATAAGTGTAGGTATGTGGGCTCCCCTTGCTATAAGTTATTTATACTTAATGTCACCGTTAGGTCATGGTGATGTCTAGGAATTTTGCTCTTTCAAAACCTGACCTAGTCCTGACTGGTGTAGCTCAGTGGGCTGGGCGTCATTCAGAAAACCAGAAGGTCGCTGGTTCAATTCCTGGTCGGGGCACATGCCTGGCTTGCGGGGCCAGGTCCCTGGTTGGGGGCGTGCCAGAGGCAACCTGTTGATGTTTCTGTCTTGTATTGATGTTTCTCTCCCTCTCTTTGTCCCTCCCTTACCCTCTCTCTAAAAATAAATAAAATCTTTAAAAAAACCTATTCTAGTAGGAAGTTCTAGTATCAAGTGGGATAGTTAGAAATACTCAAAATATTTAGTCTAAGATATCAGAGATCAGTTCCATATAGATTAAAAAGATATTTCAGTCGTTGGAAATTTCTATCCCAAAATTTATTTCAGTTTAGTTCCTTTGCCTCTCTGTTTATAACGTGATCATAGTTACTATCTCTAGTATATTGTCTGCCAAGTATGTATAGTTGTTTATATATTTATTCATTGTACATGTATCAAAAATCCAAGTAAGCCTATTACTGTATATTATTGTCAATTATATCAACCAAATAAATTTTAACATTCAGTCTGCCTGAGAAGTTTCTGATTTTGCATTACCTTACATTAGGGAAAATACTCCTGTTTTGTTAGGTTGTTTTGTTTTGTTTTTCATTTTGTTAAAACACAGAACACTTAATTGTTTTCTCTAATAAAGAAAGTAATGCACATGTCTAATAGAATATTAGTTTCTACTTTTTCTTAAAGATACATTCTCATGACAAAATTTAACTTCCTGACTTTGGTTTGGGGAAATGTGTTTTTTGAGGAATTGCTTCTTATGCTGTTTTCTTTTTACTTACAGTATATCTCTGTACCGGGGTAATTGTAGGCCTATACGATTTGAACCACCAATGCTGGATTTCCATGAACAGTAAGTTTGAAATGTCCAAACCATAGTTCTCCTTTAAAATATTCTATGTACTTTACTCATGTATTTGTCTTGCCTTTTGCCTGTGTTATTATCTGCTGAAGAAGGTTAATGTTGAAGTCACCAGGGAAACAAATGATGTTGAATGCAGTCTGCAACATGGAAGTGATATTATGAACCTAACATATAATATTAACTTTTGCAGTTTGAAAACTACTCACATATTTGAGTCTGTTTCTCTTGACCTTTAGAATAAGCATAAAATTTATAGGTTATCTTTTCTGATTAGCACTTTATTTCTGTTTTTACTATTTAAATTTTCCCCATGGATGTAGAAGGGTATATTATTCGTTTGTTCAATGCATTGCTTTTTTCTTCTTAAGCCCCTGTGTTGGAGGTGAAATGGCACAGTTAGACCTGTAGAGTCAGACCAGACCTTGGTCCAGAAACCTTGATACTTGAGTTCTGGCTAAGAAATAATTCAGAGCCAAGATTCAAATTTTAAGAAAAAGTTTATTTAAAAAGTTAAAGAGGTAGAGGAAGTGAGCTGTAGAAAAAATGGGCTCAGGAAACAAGTTACAGAGGCAAAATGAAGGCTCTTGGAGCTTAGTAGGGAAAGAGAGGCAAGGAAAACACACCTGGGGAAAGAGAATGGGAAAAGGTATGGCAGTGCACCAAAGTACAGACTTTTATATATCATCAAGTTAATGATGTTATCGCCAATCCAGAAGGGCAAACAAAAGCAAATCCTGCAGAAAGACAGAGTTCAGCTACAGACATGCTTCCTCAAACTATACTTCTGGCTCCCTGCCTACCTCTGGGTCTCAGGTTTTGCACATTGCAGATATACTAAGGGGAAAAGAAGTCTTCAGCCATATTTGGTTCCAGCCCAGTTTAGCAGATGAATAAAGAGTACACCTTACATGATACAACTACTTGAGTAATGCCCCTCTGATAAGTTAGAATAAGTCAGAATAAAAATTGATGACCTCCATTCCAAGACTGACATGAGCAATACAAGGGTATATGAGTATATGTGAGTGTGGGGAGATATGAGTTTCGGGATACTATCCCCAAATTTTTAGCCTAAAATAGTGAATATTTTCACTTTGAAAAATTTATTAGCCATTCTAGAGAGGTTGTTTACAAAGTTATATCTAACTGTTTTTTATTTCATTATTTGTTTTTTGAGAGAGTTTTACAGACTTTATGCATCCCTTGAGATAAAGAAGTTTTCAGGTATACAAAAATACCTGAATTGGAATTGGGAATTCCTTTTCAAAATGATCTGTCCTTCAACCCTTTAAATAATGACCCACTCCTGAAATAGGAGAAACTGAATTTTCGTAAATCTATGTCATAAAAGCCACATGGATATAAACAGATTCCTAAATTTAGAACTTTTGAATGTAGAAAATCAGAAGGGATGTGAATAAAAGAATTTACCTAGCATTTTTAGAGCTAAGGTTCATTTTACAAAACTTGAAAGTAGTTATGACTTCACTTATATGTGGAATCTAATGAACAAAGTAAACTTAACAAAGTGGAAACAGACTCATGGATACAGAGAATAGACTGACAGCTGTCAGAGGGGAGGAGGTTGGAGGCTGGTGAGAAGGGTAGAGAGATTAAGCATAGAAATAAGAAAGATTCATGAACACAGACAGCAGTATAGTGATTGCCAGAGGGAAGGCGGGGTGGAGGGAGGTAGAATGGGGTAGAGGGAAATAAATGGTGACAGAAAGAGACTTGACTTGGGGTGGCGAACGGACAAATATACAAATGATGCAGAATTGTACACCCAAAACCCACGTAATTTAATTAACTAATTTCACACCAATAAATTCCTAAATAAAGTAGTTTAATTAATTAAATAGTTCTAAAAGTCATTTGAGAACAAACAAAATGAAGTTGTACATTTTCACTGAAGAAAGTAAATTATTGTTGGGTCAGGAAGTAACTGATTGCTAAAGGAAATCAGAGATGCGTTAGCACATTTCCTCTTTTAAAGTCCTATGTTTATTTTTTTCACCCTCAGAAGCATAAAACTTAATTGATTAATTTTTTCCTTCTTTGACTGCTTTTTGCCTCCAAAAATCCCTTCTCTTTCTTAAATGAATATTAAGTGGAAAAAGAATCAGAACACCTTAGTACAGAATGACCCTTCTTCATGCCTGTTAGTCACCTTCCATTATCCCACCCCAACTGGGATATAACCCCAGTTTCCAGCCCTTAAGAAAAGTTCCCAGCAGAGGAGTAAATCCTAATTAATCTACATAGGTTGTGATCATCCCGTTCTTGTTTGTGATCAATTCAGGGGTGAATGTGACCCATTCTGCAGAACAATGTGAGAGGTCTGGTCTACTAAAGGATTTCTGGGGGAGGATTTTTTTCATTCCAAAAGAGATACAATAAAGAAATATCCCTCTTGCATGCTGGATATTGTCTGTATGTGAGTCCTGGAGTGCTGTGGCAACCATCTTATGATGAGTTGGCAGTGCTAGCCTGAGGATAAAGCCAGCAAAGTGTGTCTGACAGAGGGAAAAATGGAAAGAACTTACGCCCTTGACCATATTGTCACTGCTGAATCAGTCAATCCCGGAAGTGCCTGCTTCAGGGGTGGGGAGTTGTTAGGTGACAGTTACTGGTCTTACTTTCTTGATCACTCATAGATTATATGGCACTGCTGACTTGTTCCTCTCTCAGCTCTTTCTCTGCCTCCACCCTTGTGAACCATGCTCCCTTTTTTCCTCCTATGTCTAAGGCTCTTTGTTCTTCATCCCCTTCAGGGCTCTGTTCCTCTGACTGTCCCCTAACTGTGGCTGCTTCTGTTACCTCAGCCCTTTTCAGCCAGCTCCACACTTCTTTACTAAGAGGTATTTCACATCCTTGGCTTATACCTATGGCTTCCCACTCTGTACCCTCAGTCCCCTCAACAACACTCATCTTGCATCCCCAGCAACACCTTAACATCAGTGTATCCTGCCCTTGCTTCTGTATTTCCAGTCTCTGTGCATGGTACCAGCAAGTCACCAAATCCTGTATCCTGAGGATTCCTGAATTCTTCCCTTTCCCTCAAAGCACTGCATCCCTTTTCTCACCAACTCCATTACTATAATCCTATCAGTTTTTCATGTCTTCTCCTCTCTAACCTTTACTGCTTATCCTTCTCCTCTTAATTCAGGCCTTCATCATTTCTTACCTAGACTGTGACAACATGTCTGCCATTTCCAATTTATGATCTATACTATCAATAGAGAAATCTCTTTAGTATCGAAATCTTATCATGTTATTTCCTGTACTCCTGTCACCCCCAAAATCTCTTAATGGTTTCCTAATGTCTGCAGGATAATGCTAAATGTCTTAACATCACATCTGTCTTTTACCTTTCTTATATGCCACCCCACCCTTAACTACACCTGTGGGGAACTATTGATACTTACAGTGCTCTGAAACACCTGATCTTTCTAAGCTCTAGGTATGTTATACATACTTTAAGAGTCTCCCATATAAAAATAATTTTTATGGAAGTCTTTATGTAGTCAGAAAAATATAAAGAATAGATGATGAGTGTACTATTAACTCAAATTCAGTAGTGAACACTTTTGCCATATTTTCATGTTTTTGTTGATTGTGATTTATTTGAAAGTGGCAGACATGATGATATTTCATTCCTGTATTCTTTAGCACACATTTGCATTATAAGGACATGCTACATAATTGCAGCACCATTACTGGTATTGTAAGACAACTAACAGTAATTACAGAGTGCCTTTAATTCCTCTTGTAATCAGTGTTTGGTTCCAAGGGATAGAAATCTTATTGAAACTAGTTGAAGCAAAAAGGAGTGTATATTGGAAGGAACCCTGAGGACCATAATATATCTTCAAGAAGGGAAGAGATGCATCTGGGACCTGAGGACAGCTGGATCCCTGTTACTGCATGCCACCAGTACTCTTCTCTGTGTCTGTTATTTCTGCTTCTCTACATTGGCTTGTTTGCCCCACTACCAATGTTTCTTTCCTACAGTGATAACAGATTCACTGATTGCTCTTCAAACTCACACTCTGTAGCCTCCCTCCATTAAGGAAGAATAGTTTCTTGTTCTTTAGTTTGAAAAATCTCAGAGTAATGCAGTAATCACCTTGGCTTAGATCAGATGTCTACCCCACCAGTCAGACAAGGCATGTATTTGGTAGTGGACCTGTCTTCAGGTATTTTTCCTTATATTTCACCCAGAGAAGAGAAATTATACAGTGTGCAACTACTGCAGTTGAATTCAGTTACAGCCTCCCTCACCTGTTGACTCCCTAATGACCTTTAGTACTACAGGGGATAGCTATCCTCTGTAAAGCAGGCCTTTCCCAGCCTGCCCAGCAGAGGTAGAAACTGCCTTCTCGCTGCTTTCATGGGGCTGTGTTCACCCACAGAAGTGGAATGAATCCCCACCCCAAACTTGGTCCAGATGTCAAGACTGATGACATCCATGCACACAGAACAAGAGGGTATGAAAGGTTTATTATACTCACATAATGAAGCTTTCTGGAGAGATCTGGGAGCAGGGGGAGGTTCTCTCAAGCAGGTGTGAAAACCCGCTTGAGAAGGCAGAGAAAGGAAATTGACTTGGCTTTGGTTGTGCTTAGGGGTGAGGTTGGGGTGGGCTTGCATGGTTTGAACTTCAGACTAGGTCCAAGAGGGAGAATGTGGAGGCTTCCTTACTGGCTTGCCCAGATGTGTAGCATAAGGTGAAGGGATGTTTGGGGCTTGAAACTGTCAGTAATCAAACGTTAAACATGGAGTGGACTCTTCATTATTCATGATGCCCTCTACTAACTTCTGTCTGTGCACAGCTGTTGAGATAAATACACATTGTCTGTCTTGGTACTTCTGTTACATATTTCACATTTAAAACATATACAGTACATTAAGTCCAACAAGATTGTCTGCTGGTTTCTTTTGGTTTAGTTAAATTAGTTTTACATTTTTAAGTGTTTTTGCTGAGC